GAAGCATCTTTGCTCTGGAAATTGTTATTGAATATGTTAATGCTGTAATGAAATGCTTCTAATCATGTGGTTATTAAATAATTAAAAAAATATTTTTAAAAAGCATTTGGAATTGTGCATTTCATGCAAAACATCATGATACTTTAAATATGAAATATTTAAGCAACATTTGTAATAAGTTCTAAAAAACGAAAATGGAATTTAGAGAAATGTGGAAATAAGACTGGGCTAGTTGGGGTCAATGATGCAGGGAAAATGAACCTGGCTTGTCAGGTACGGGTTGTTTCAGTTGACACCTTCAGAAGACACTCAGGATGTAGCTGAATATACTTGGCAGTAAAGAGGTAAGAGTTAAAGGTTTGGGAGTAAACCAGATAATGGTTTTAAAACCACAAGAGTATGAATGAACTGAGTATACATAGGATGAGAAAAGGGTCAAGGAGGAAATTCTAAGGAAGGCTGATACATTTAAAGAAAGGAGAGAGATTTAAGGAGGAAGACTGAATGAATTTTCAAAGGGCAGATAGAGAACTGGTCAAATGTGTTGCAGAATTAAGAGTGGAGATTATTTAATTCTCCCAATATAATGGATTACAAAGATTCTTTGAACCAACAAACAGAACTTTACTTTTATAGTTGTTTCTATTTTATTTCATGGAGGAATCTAGGAAGTTAATAAGCACCATAAATGTAATGACAGAAAACAGAAAGAAGGTGCTACACCTATTGTCCCACTTCAGGAAACATCTGTACCAGAGAATACGAGGTAAAGAAATTCCAATGTTTCTCTTGCTCAGTGAAAGGATTCAAGAAGAAATGACCAGCATAAATTGCAGACACAGAGAGGAACTGGTTGAATTTCCATATCACTCAGATAGGTCATCTGAAAGCTCTGAACAGCATTATAAAAAATTTCTTTAAAACATTTTATTTAAGAGTATAGAAGGCATGATGATTCAGAAGTAATGAGTCATTTAAAAATAATAAAACTATTGCTTTGTCTGGAAAACACAGACACTCTTTGGTTGATGACTCAGTATGGAATCTGCTTCCAAGAGAACAGTTTGGAAGAATACAAAATAGGTACCATAGAACTACATGAGGGTATGGGTGAAGAGACCTGGAATTGTATTCATTGTGTTCATTTGAAAATAGTTGAAAAAATAAATTGAGAAAGGGGAATCTTTTCACTAGAGATTTTCTTCATTCTAAGAAAAAGAATGTATGTATAAAAGTACAATTAATGCTTTGAGTTTAGAAATAATGTCTCAATGAGAGACATATAAACAGTTAATATAAGAATGTATCAGTAGATGATCTAATTTGAACACACAGGAGTTAGAAAGTGCTTAAAAACTTACTCTTACCTGTATTCCAGTGGAAAAACAGAAGTGATTGAACAGAAAGCAGTAGGTGGGCAATGCAGTGCTCTTGATAGAATGACTCAATCTGATAACCTTGTCAAGTCACTTTCCTCACTGAGACCTTTTCTTCTGGGAAAGCAGGATGCAAGATGGCTCTGGGGTCTAGAGAATAGGAGAAAAGCAGAGTTTGTTTTTCTTGGTTTGAATTAGGAAAAAGCTGTTTTATCAGAAAACTACTTTGTATCATTTAATGTGAGCATAATGAACTGGCTATTCACTTTTGTTTCTGTTTGTTTGAAACAGGGTCTCACTATGTAGTCCCCTCTGGCCTGGAACTCAGTATGTAGACCAGAGTGGCCTCAACTCACTCTTGAATGCTAGGATTAAAGACATGTGCCACCATGCCCAGCCCTGGCTATCTATTTTTAATGCATGTCATTTGTAAAGCTACTGGCCCCAAAAAGAAAATTTGGAGTAAAACTCCATTTTATAAAAACAAACACTCAAGCTAGGGATATAGCTAGCTCAGTGGTAGAGGATTTATATAGCATGTGTGAGACACTAGATTAAATTCCCATCACTATGCAAAAATCATTGTCATGTATTCTGAAATATCAAAAATAGTTATCTCTTTTCTGGCAGTATTTATTTTCCTTTTCTTCCATCCAAGTACTAACCACACTCTAACCTGCTTAGCAGGGCATATTCAGGGTGGTAAGGTAGACTATTTTCCTTTTATAAATGATTTTCTAATCTCAGACATTATACAAATACAGACAGTAAATATCAAAGGGACAGTTTATAATAACAATTAAATATAATAACAATAATAAAAATTAAATATAATAAACAAATATAATATATATTATATATAAATTATATATTATATTAAATATAACATTAATATTAATATATTATATTAAATATAATATATAACAATTAAATATAATAAAAATTTAAGTGCTACTACAGATCAGGTACTCATCAAGATGTACAACCTCAAATTCTATAGTATTGCCTCACACCTGTCATACAGTGATTTGGAAGACAAGGATGATATCTAACCTTTAAGTCAAGGAAGGCATCCCTCAGGGACTGCCATGCCAGTCCTGGGGCAGAGTAGAAGCAGTTGGCTGCAGAAAAGGAAAAATGCTGGGTAAGAAAATGTGGCAAAATAGAAGGTGGCATGGGATGTGTGGGAGCTGGGTTACTCAAGGGTTAAGTTGACTCCCAGAAGCCAACACTGAAGGAGCGGAACTGGGTGAGCCCAGCATCAGAAAACTCTGGATGAAAAGTTCTAGATTGAGTGGAGGGAAGTCAAAATCAAATTCATTCAGAAGGTCTATCACTGTACATTCTACTGTGGAAGTCAAAATTTGGGAACCAAAGTCTAACCAAGTCAATCAGGGGGAAGGCTTCTGCAGGCTCCAGCAGGCTCCAGATGGGAAGGAGACGGGACATAGTAAGGGTATAAATGAAGGTAGCTCAGAGAGTTATGCAGCTACCTTTGTAACTGCTGGGAGGAGGTCCCTTAAGACTCAGGAAGTAAATAAACTCACAAGCTCAAGTAAATAAAACCTACAAATCTTAGGAAGCTCCTGAAACTTGTTAGATTTGTAAGGCTCACCCCCAAGGTTATATAAGCAGTAATAACTGCTACAAAGAAGAGACTCTACAACCTAACAAGTTGCCTGCTAGTCCTTCAGTGAGCTCCAAGGGAGAAGTTTTCTGAGTCAGTGCTCAGGCTAGGGTTGGCTTTTCAGTGAGGTAGCTACCTTTGAGTCATCCATCTTCCTGAAGGTAACCCCAATATACTGGTTCCCTAAGCTAGACTTGCCTGGAATTATGTCTTTGGTCTGTAGTTGGCCTAACTGGGGTGAACAGATACTTGTTCACATCTCCTCAGGGAAACTCACAGAACACAGGGCTTACACAACAAACTCATGATTACAAAACATGAGCAAGATCTGAACGTAGTCCTATGTAAGTACAAATTCTGGTGAACATTAGAGAAAGATTTTTTTTCTTTTAAATGGTGCTGGAGATCAAATCCAGAACCTTGTAAATACCAGGCAAGTACTTTATCACTAAAATATACCCTGCCACTAGAAAAAGCTCTTAAACTTATTTTTTAAAAGCATATTGGAAAAGAAATGAGGAAAAAAAATGAAATGAGAGAAAAAAACAATAGGCTTCAATTCATTCAATACATATTTACTGATTTCCTTCTAGGCCCCAGTAGAGATCACATTTTAGTGATGAGTCCTTTTAGGACATAGTTTTTTATAGCATTCTTTTCTTTCCTGACAAGTTCATTTTGGAATAAATGAACACTGATGTAGTCAAAGCCAGGTGGGCAAGTCTAAAGTAGAAGAAATAGAAGCAAAGGTCAGCAAATTCTGTTTGAATGGGATGATAAAAGAATCCTACAGACGGTATGGTGGTGGGGGGTCTGAATATGATCAAAAGACACTTGATGAAATCCTCAAAGAATCAGTAAAAATAATTTTTTAAAATAGAATGATATGGGTGGCAATAAGCTGGTAAGGGGCCTCAAGCTTCCTTTAATATGGTTTGGATATGAAAAAAAATGTTTTAAGTAACAGGTGTTTGTTTGTATGGTGTTTATTATTATTATTGGTCTTTTTGAGGGTCTCCCTATAGCCTCAGCTAGCTGGCCTGGTGCTCCCTAGGTAGATGAGGCTGGTCTTGAACTTACAGAGACTCACCTGCCTCTGCCTCCCGAGTGCTGGGATTAAAGCTGTGAGCCACCATGCCTGACTTAAATAACTTTTTTAGGAATATTTTATTTTTATTTATGTGTGTTGTGTGTGAGAGCAAGAGAGCGAGAGAGAGAGCGAGAGAGAGCGAGAGAGAGAGCGAGAGGTGCAAGTGCCTGCAGAGTCCAGAAGAGAGTGTCAGATTCTCTGGAGCTGGAGTTATAGGCTGTTGTGAGCCACCAGACATGGCTTCTGGGGACTGAAGTCCAGACCTCTAAAAGCACTCTTCACTACTAAGCCAACTTTCCAGTCCCTTAAATAATAATCTTAATCTTTTAAAACTAATTACTATAGAAATGAGACACCCTGGAAGACAGGTAGATAATAAAAAAAGACCATATCAAGAGACAGTATCAATAACGAACATTTTTGTTAGTAGCCCTTTTCGTTTCAAAATATAGTCTCACCATGTGGCCCATGCTGGCCTCAAGAGTGATTCTCTTGTTCCAGAATACTGGGATTACTGGGATTAGCTACCATACCTGCCTTATAAATATCATGTTTATACATACATAAATATAGACATGAGGATTTTGTCTCCATTTTTAAAAAACAAGTGAGATTATAACTTATTGTTTCCTTCATTAATACAGATACTTTCCATGAAATTAAACTGTCATACATTCAACTAATATACATTATACTATATAATGTATATAGTAGTATACATGTATGTAGTATAGTATATACTATATTAAATTTATTTATTAAATTCTCTATGAAGGTACACTAGGTTATAGGAGAAGATGAAGGGAGGAGGACCAGCAAGGTGACTCAGCAGGTAGAGGCCCTTGTATGCACACTTAACAACCTTGAGTTTTATCTCCAGGTTTCAAAACATGGCAGGAGAGAACCCTCTTCAGAGAGTGTTCCTCTGACCTCTACATTCATCCCATAGTACATGCATACCTATATTCAAACACACATACACGCAGTAAACAAAATAAATAATTTTTAAAAAGGAAGAAAGCAGCAAGCAAATGATCAAGCTCACCCCACTGTGGCAGCATTCTCAATACTGTAAAGGTGGAAAGAAGGTATGGAAGCTCAGGAGACTTTAGACTTTTACATATAATGTTCAAATCTTGAATTCTTTGTAGATGAAGAATTTCCAAAAGAGAAACAAAGAATAAAAATATTGTTCTAAAAATCAAGTAATTTTAAGCTGGGTGTATTGGCACACAGTCTTTAGTACTAGCACTCAAGAGGTAGAGGCAAGTGGATCTTTGTGAGATTGAGACCGGCCTAATCTGTATAGTGAATTCCAAGCCAGCTGGGGAGACAGGAATACCTTGTCTTAAAAGAAACAAAGTCAGGCATGGTGGTGGCTTTTAATCCCAGCATTCAGGAGGCAGAGGCAAGAGGATCTCTGTGAGTTCGAGGCCAGCCTGGTCCAAATAGCGAGTTCCAGGTCAGCTGGGGCTACAGGGAGACCCAGTCTCAAAAAGGCCAAAAATAAAATGAAAGAAAGAAGACAGAAAGAGAGAGAGAGAGAGAGAGAGAGAGAGAGAGAGAGAGAGAGAGAGAGAGAACAAAAAACCAAACCACAACAAGAAACTAAATAATTTTATGGGGAGAGAGAAGGGAGGCTGATTGTGGGTGTGTGTGGGGGGATTAATGGAGCTTGTGTGGCATGGGAAGCCAGAGGGAAATGTGTTGGCTCGGAAACCCCCTGAGAAATACACATACTGTGTCTGAACAGTAATGCACATGGGGGCTGTATGGCAAGAAGCACTGTGCCAGGCAGGTAGGAGAGACCTCCCTACAACTTGTTGGTCAGAGTAAGTCCATGAGACTCCCAAAATAATACAGGCTATTGCCAGAGCCCTTGCTTATCTCCCAGAACTTGAAAGTAAGACCCTACTGAGGAAGACCACCCACTCTTTGGACACAGGACTTGGATCAATGGAGCTGGAACTGAAGACCAGCTCTCATAGTTACAGAGGATATTATGCAAGCTGCCAGGGGGAAAATCAATCAACAGTCCAACCCAGCTCTAAATAAAGGCTAATAACCACAACGACTGGCACAGCAAACTACCTGTATTCCTGTATTGGTGCAGTAATGGCACTGTTATCTGGGGGGTAATCAACAGCTATCTAATTGGACTTAAAGTCTTCTCAATGTGAGGGAACTCATGGGTGGTACTGTAATTATCGTCAAATACACATGGCTGGAGAGGTCACAGATTCGGAGAAAACCCTCTCTGTCATATCTCTAGACAAATGAAATTTCCTACCATATGCTAAATATGGATCCTTATATTTATAGACAAGCATACCGTATACCACTCATCAAAGAAACTTCTTTTTGCAACAGATGGAGGCTATTTCAGAGTTCCACAACTGGCCAGACACAGCGAATATACATCTGAGAGATGCCCAGTCCTAGGTGACATATCTACAGTGGAACTTCTACGCCTAATACTTACAGAACATAGCAGAACGGGGGTAGAGAGCATACTGGTGCATCCCTCAACTCTCATCAGTGAAGCTTCCTTATACAACAGAGTGCGATGAACACAGGTCACAATTGGCTAAGTTTTAGAGAATAAGAGACAGCAGAGTGTGTGTCCCTAGGTAGGACTTCTATTTTAAACCTCATCTACCCACGGCTCAGGGGCCATTTCAGAAGAGGGGGCAGAAAGACTCCAAGAGTCAGGATTGGTTCATGAATCTAGGGAAACAGAGGTTTACAGGTCATTGGAAGCTTGCTTGTGTGTTCACAATGTGACAGTGGTGGCATCGTGCACAAGAGCCATGCCAACTCAATCAGACAAGTGTCCAGCATGGAATGAGGGAAATGGGTGGCACGCTGGCCCTAGTCTGGGAACTGTTGGCAACTGATTACTCCTGGGTGAGAGAGGGTAGATCTTCCTTAAGATCGCTAGATAGGCTGACTAGACTCCAGTGGATAAACTTGCACTGAAGGACATCTGGGTACAAATGCTTGACTGGATAGGACTTAACATGTACAACAAAATGCATGAGGCCCAGTGGGGGTGTGTGTGTGGAGGCATGGATGGGGAAGGGGGTCTAAATTTAATTACGAACCATTGTATGAAATGCACAAAAACTTAATAAAAATATTAAAAACAAAAAACTAAATAATTTTAAGTCTTCATGTCTTCAGAACAAACAATTCAGAAAAAGCAAACAACTAAAAACAGTGAATGGACTTGTAGGGGAAAAAATGTTCTAATGATAACTTACAATAACAGCTTTCAAAAGAAGTGTCAGAGAGTCCCAAATGATACTCTTAATAGAAGGGGCATGGAGTCTTTCTTGTAAGTGGCTAGGTACGACCTTATTTGTCCTCTCTAGGGTTCCACTTCCTCAAGAGTTTGTGTGGGC